AGTCATATTGATATGAAGCATTCTCAGGTAGTGTAGATTCAAGTTTGTTCAAATGATGATACCCGAGGTAGGATGGGACCACAATGGGGGATCAAAATTTAACATAGGAATATAGGAAAAAATCATTAAAAATCTTGTTCTCAAGAACAGCAAAGCCATGATTAGTCAAATTGATATGGAAGCATCCTCAGGTAGTGTAGATTCAAGTTTGTCCAAATCATGATCACCGGGGGTAGTATGGGGCCACAATGGGGGATTTTACATAGGAATATATAGGAAAAACATTAAAAATCTTCTTCTCAAGAACAGCAAAGCCTTGTTAGGTCATATCGATAAGGAAGCATTCTCAGATATAGTTTAGATTCAAGTTTGTTCAAATGATGATGCCCGGGGGTAAGGTGGGGCCACAATGGGAGATCAAAGTTTTACATACGAATATAGAGGGGAAAAAATCTTTTAAAAATTTTCTTCTCAAGAAATGCAAAGCCATGATTAGTCATATTGATATGGAAGCATCATCGGGTAGTGTAGATTCAAGTTTGTTCAAATGATGACCCCCGGAGGTATGGTGGGGCCACAATGGGGGATCAAAGTTTTACATAGGAATATATGGGGAAAATCTTCTGAAGAACAGAAAAGCCATGTTTAGTCATATCGATATGGAAGCATCCTCAGGTAGTAAAGATGCAAGTTTGTTCAAATGATGACCCCCGGGAGTAGCATGGGGCCACAGTGGGGGATCAAAGTTTTTCATAGGAATATATAGGAAAAAATTCTTCTCAACAACAGAAAAGCCATGAATATTGTTTAGTCATATTGATATGTACTAAGATCCTCAGGTAGTGTAGATTCAAGTTTGTTCAAATGATGACCTAGTGGGTAGGGAGGGGCCACCATAGGGGATCAAATTTGTACAAAGGAATATTTAGGGAAAAAATCTTTAAAAATATTCTAGTCAAGAAGAGCAAAGCAATTTGTTAAATTGATATGGAAGCATCCTCAGGTAGTTTAAAATTTAAGTCCCCCCAACATGTAAACTTTTCAATACTGAACTAGTTTGTTCCTTTTCTAAGCCAATGTGCTCAAGTGAGCGATGTGGCCCATGGGCCTCTTATTGGTCTGTCCGTCCGTCTGTTAATCTGTCTGTTTGTTTGCAAAAACTTTAACCTTGCCCTTAATTTTTGAGTGGTTGGTGCTAGGGATTTCATATTTCAGGTGCGTATTTCTTGTGACAAGTCCTTTCTTTGGGTTCAAACAATGTTGACCTTGACCTTGGAGTTTGACCTACATTTGAAGAACTTTAATCTTGGTCTTAACTTTTGATTGGTTGGTGCTAGGGCTTTATTTATCACAGGTGTATTTTTTGTGACAATACCTTTCTTTCGGCATCAATATTTTTACCTCCTGACCTTGATTTTGAGTTTGACCTATATTTATAAATGATTTAATCTTTAACTATTAAACAGTTGGTGCTAGGGTTTTCATATTTTATTAATGCATTCCTTGTGACAGACCATTCCTTTGCCTGACAACATTTTGACCTCCTGACTTTGACCTCTGTTGTTGACCTACATTTGTTAAACTTTAAATTTGTCTTTGACTTTTGAACGGTTGGTGTTAGGGCTTTTATATTTCACGAATATATTCCTTGTGACAAGCTTCTTCCTTTGGTACTTATTTTGACCTCATGATATTGATCATGGAGTAAGACTTACTTGTTAAAAAACTTTAAACGGTGTATTCTTTTTGCCAAGGCCTTTCTTTGGGTACCAACATTTTTTGAACTCTTGACCTTGACCTTGGAGTTTGAACTACATTTGAAAAGCTCGCATACATTTGAAAAGCTCTAACCGTGGTCTTGAGCTGTCATAAGGGGGGGGGGGGGTGTCAGTGTTTCACAAACATATATCTTGTTTTATCAATGCTATCAGCGAGCATATAAATAAATCTTAAAAAGTGCGAGAAAACTTCATAAAATGTTAATGTAAAAGGTGAAGATAACGAACAGTGATCAATATCATAAATCCAGTAAACAAAAACGGATCGTGAACAGGGCAAAAACACGGACCTCTGGAAACACTAGAGGTTGGATCAGGTTCTTAGGAGGAGTAAGCATCCCCTGTCGACTGGTCGCACCCGCCTTCAGTCCTATGTATTGACCAGGAATACGGAGTACTCCATAGTCAAATTTAGTATAAAAGGCAATGACCTAATAAATGGTATGAAATATGTCAGACAGAATACGACCCAACAATAGGTTTTATTTAAAAACAAGATCATTATAATGACCGTAGAATTTGCGAAAAGCTGACTTTAAACGGAGTTATTGAAATCCTTGTAACATCAACTTATTTGTCAGTACATGTAGCTTAAAAATTAATCGTATTCATGGTATGTTCTTGCGTATCGATTCATCTGAGAGACATGAACATCATATGCATGTGATATTGGATTGCTACATAAATAAGGGAAGTTGACGATGGAAAAAACTGATGTCATCCCGTTTGTCATACAGTTTAGCTATTGGTTGGCCATTATCGTCCATAGTTGGTAAAACATCCAAATATGAAACAGATGAGTCATTCTGATACCCCCTCCCTTTATTAATTAAAAAATGTAAGAGCTTATAATTTCTGAAAAATATAAAATTTCCCCGTTAATTACATCCATATGTTGTTCTATGCAAGCAGATTGTACTTTTTCTAAGAGAATGGCCTTGTACGGTATAATAAAAAAACACAAGGTAAGATACAATTTTTTTAACCAACGGGGGGTTCCCTGCTTCGAGACATCTTTCCAAGGTAATAACAGTGTTGCCTATCATAATTTTCCATACATTCTGTCAGGGAGATGATCTTCTACTAGTTTCTTTAACCTAAACCCCATCATTAGTGTTTTACATGCCGTAATCGGACGATTTATTAATCGGATACATAAAATTTACTCCATTGACTGCTTTGAAGGAGGTTTTGGAATTCGCAGATCTGTTTCGCTTTATCTGATTGATCAAAGACTTAAACTGTATATCATTGTTAACCAATTAGATAAAGCAAACAGATCTGAGGTCTCTGAAGTGTCTTTTATTTCGAGTTCACTGTGATATATCGAGTTGACATGTGAATGAAAGATAACTACTGTCAATTTATAAAACGCCGTCGATATATATAAATGTTGAATTGAAGACCACAGCAAGAGTTTTCTTCTCATGAAGAAGTTTTTGAATATTTTTTGCTTCATAGGAATATAAGAACAGGTCAGCTTATGAAGGAGCACAATTAGTTCCCATCGAAATTCCAACAGATTGTTGGAAGACCACTGGTCTCCAAAGACTACATAGATATAGTCAATGAGGAACCCCAGCATGAAAATTTAAGAGTTACATTTTTATTGAGGAAGCAGATGTCTACGATGTCAACATGTCTGCTCTTTAATTTATCGCGAGGAATAGTTGTATAGAAAAGTCACATGTTCTGATGCTATTGATGTACTAGATTTAGCCAAGGCTTGTTGGTCAAGTCGTTCAATAGAATTTTTGTGATAACTTGATCTTGGAAACTTCATACTATCTTAACTTTCAATTGGAGAGCATGAGGAGGAAAGGAAACATGCTAAACACCCAAACAAGCCAGAGTGGACCTATTTATTATCACATTATACATTACGTACAGGTTATATAACATTTGGCCATTCTCGAATGCATATCATTCATGGTCAGCAAAACAGCAGGAATGAAGCTGATCAGGTCAACACTTGTCGATTATCTTTATCAGATTAACTAATGGATGTTTATTTTCAATGCATACTAAGTCTCTCTACCGAATTTTTATAAATCTACACATATTCATAACTTGCAGATGTTTGATTTCCGCCCCTCGTGAATTAAAAATTGTGAGAGTATTTTAATTACCAATAACCAATTAATATCTATAATGTAACTGTAACATAGCTTAAAAACTATCAAAGTGAAGGATAGATGTTGAATATTCTTTTGCTTAAATGCAAAGATGTCAGCTACGTTTTCTTTTTTCTTTTTAAATAAGTCATTTCTTAACTATCAAAACTGTTCACCAATTGATGTTAAGATTTTTATGTGTTGCAACTTTTTCCTTCAAAAAGACTGGTTATTTTTGTATCCATGAACAGGCCCGTTGGAAGAAATTTCAGAAATTTGCAGTTAAGGGTGGACACTATCGAGGAAAATTCCTTACAGAGCATACAAAAGTTATCAGAAGTTACTATTTACATGATTTAGGTGACACAATCATAAAATAGCTATGTATATAAATAGGCAAAATTATTGGGGGAGGGGCACGCCATCCCCACCCCCACCCCCGGTTCCTACATCTAAGAAAAAAGAAATTACAAGTAATATAATATGTATACAGAATAAATTCATGTCAAGTTTTATTTTATGTTGATGCCACTGAATTGAACTTTTCTTGTTTCTTAGAAAAAGAATTCATTTCATGACTCAGACTCATGTTGATTACACTGTATTTAACATTTCTTGATTTTTCACGTAAAAATAAATTTGCTCAAGTCAGACAAGCTTTTTAGGAAAGCTAATACTTGTGACAGTGATAGAATTAAGTGACCATACATGATATTCCTACGAATAGGGGAAACTTGCTGAAAGATGATGTTTTTACGTTACTTAAATTGAAACCTGTTTTTAATTTTATTGATAACCAGAATTAATTTCTGTAAATTGTTCTGATTGTGGTGAAAATACAAAACCAAAAGAAAAAAAAGTTGTGAAACTACTTTTTTATTCTCCCCGCCCCATGAAAAATATTTTCAATAGTTCAACTAAGGACCAGGACCCCCCCCCCCCAAAAAAAAAAAAAAAATAAAAAAATAAACAAACAAACAAACAAACAAACAAACAAACAAAATTAAGTTACTTATACATTTAGAAAACATTAATATTTATGGTTTCATGAAATGTGAATTATACAATTATTTCCGATTTACAGAGTTTTTCTCTGTCACGTGGACACCTCGTCACGTGATTAGATAAATCTTCCTCTCTTAGCTTGGCGTGGACAGACAAAGAAGACACAGAAAATGCCCGGCGTGAGTATCTTATATCTACTTAACTAACAAGAATCACAAAACCTGCAAATAGGCTGCTTATTACTGAAGATGCATTAAGTTGTTTTGTATATAAATGTTAGAAAAACTATTGAAGTTAAGGGCATTTTGCGGTAGTAAAGAGGTAGATTACTTGCGACGCCATTTTGTTAAAAGCGTACTGTTAGCCATCTTGAATACTAATTGTGGCATGCTCTGATAGTGTAGTAAACAGCATATAGGTATACTTAACTTTTTAACAAGAAATGAGGAAAGAAAATTGCCAATCCAGTGTTTTCAATAAGAGCCGGCAACTGGCAAAATTAGCCGCCTGTACGAGAAATTTTGCCGGCTATGAGATATCCGTCTTTGGAATTTTTTCGGGGTTGGTACGTGAAATCCGTAGATTTTATCGCCTGAGGCGGCCCCCAGACCCCTCGCCGAGATTGGTTTCCTGCTGTTCCATATATATTTCCTCCTATTGAAAATCTTATTGAAAACACTGCAATCCTGTTATTTGTATTGTTTACTCACGTTTTTGAGGTGTATCAAGTGCTTTAAAACAAATGCATTGAGCAGTATGATTTACATGTTCTTGGGTTACAAGGATTTATCTACGTATTTTATTTGTCTACCCTTTTCACGTAAATGGGTAAATATGAGAGCAATTGCTTGACATTATCGCTGGAAATCTGAATATACTAGGGAGTCTTGGGGCATCCCCCCCCCCCCCCCTTTGAAAATTTTACAAAAATCTGCATTCTGAGAGCTAATCTGGTGGTCATTTCTAGAAGTATCAGAAACAAATATATTTTAAATATTGTATGTATGATAAATCAGAAAGTTTTTTATTAAAAAAGGGGAATTAGGGCATTTTTTCCAAAGGGGAAAGGTACCCATTACTGTTAGTTAATAGCATTGATAAATCCCTGGGTTTTAATCTATACGAATTGCATATTCAGTGATTTATCAATGCTGTTTTAACTACTGGTATAGGATACATTTCCCTTTTAGAGTAAATTTCAAAATTCCCCCTTTTTTACAGAAAATTTTTCCAATAAACATACATTTAACATTTAAAATCTATTTATTTATATTATAATAATTCTAGAAATCCTCCCAAATTAGCTCTCAGAATGGATTTTTGTAAAATTTATCTGAAAATTTCCAAGGGTGCATGCCCCCAGACTTATCATATATTCACAACTCGAGTGCTAATGTCGAGCAATCGTTTTCATCCCCCCCCTTCTTGTGTGAAAAGGGTAGTCAAATAAAATATATAGATAAATCCCTGATATTATCCAAACATATAAATACACAAGGTTGGAAGGATTGATTATGGCATCTGCTCAGCTTGTGTATATACAGCACTTGTTCATTGAAAAGTGATGGCTGCACTTACAACATTCCCCACTTGAGGCATCTAATTGATGCATTGTCATAAAAGTCTGCTTTTCTATTGCATTATTTTAATAACATTTTAGTGTTCTAGATAGAGTTTAAAAGGCAGTCTTGTTGACATTCTGGTGAACTTTTCTTAAGTCTGCACCTTTTTAATCTGTATATTACCTGAGAGAGCCCCACTGAAGCAAAATTTAATTTTGTAGTTTGGTGGTGGATTTGGAGGTCGTGGAGGTGGAGGCCGAGGAGGTGGTATGGGAGGCCGAGGCCGTGGTAGAAATCAAGGTGGTGGTGACCCAGATGACCCTGAAGCTGAACAGTACAGAAAATTGTTCATTGGAGGGCTCAGCTATGAGACTACAGACTCTACACTTAGATCCTACTTTGAACAGTGGGGAACAATTACAGACTGTGTAGTTATGACAGACCCTCAAACAAAAAGGTAATCCTAATTACTGATTTCTCTCATCTTGGTCTATGAACAAGTATAGAAAGTCTGTATGGCATTAAGTAGGTCTGAGTATTGCCAACTACCTAACAATACGATACATATCACGATACAGTCATGTGATACAACATGTATCATGATACAGCTGTCAACAATTAAATTAACTAATATCTTTACATATTTGTGTTTGCTAACCTCCACAATTATAGAAAATATAAAAGGAACATCTTGATACCCTTAACCAAAGTTATTTACAGGTAGACTTGTAGTCTTAGCATTGCATTTTTTCATTGCTACCTTGTTTTCAATCATTTTTATACCCCCCGCAAACGAAGTTTAGGGGGGGTATATTGGAATCAGCATGTCCGTCTGTCTGTCCGTCTGTCTGTAGACGAGATTTTGTCCTGACCATTTCTTGGAAACTGTTGGAAGGATTTGTCTGAAAATTTGTACACTTATTATTTGCCATATGAAGGTGTGCACCTGGTATTTTCATTATGATTGGATAATTTTTCTGCATTTTACAGGTGTTTTTTCATTTTTATTATGTGGTTTTGTCTGGATCTGTTCCCAGAAACTATTGCATAGATTTGTATGAAAATTTGTACACTTATTATTTACCATATGAAGATGTGCACCTGGTATTTTCAACATTATTTGATAATTTTTCTGCATTTTACAGGTGTTTTTTTTAAATTTTTATTGACTTAGTCATTTCGGGTTCATGTCTAAGGTTTGAGACATAGAATCTAGAACATCTGTACAAAAATGTGAACTACAGCTTAAAACTACTCATTAGAACTAAAAAAAAAAAACCCACAAAGTATTAAAAACAGTTTTTACATTACACAGCAGATAGTGTAAATCCATTTGTCCCTTGGGAGTAATGAGTGGACATGCATCCAGTTAAAGATTAATTAATGAGTTCAGTGTGGGAAGCTGTTAGGGCATCTCTGATCAGGCAGGTCTTATCTATATCCGGGGAATTGGGCAGAAAGAAATAAAGATCTCTGTTGTCTAAGTCTCTTAATTGTTATTTATGTCTGTCAAAATACATAGTTACTAAAACCAGCCTTTTATTTTTAAAATGAGTTTGATATAAAGGTATTAAAATCAATTTGATTTTGTATTATTAATTATGATATTTTTTTTTTCAACAATCAATTTGCAGAGTGTCATGTCTCACAAAGATGACAGATAGTTGCAAACTATTTTTTCAATGTAATAAAAAACACTGTAATTATTAGTGTTGATATTTTATTAGGCTGCACCTTAGTTTCATTCATTAAAATAAAGTGCCCCACCACAGCATTATACGCCCATCAAATATTGTTAAATTATCATAAACAGTTTAGATTCAATTGGTCGAATGACATCTTAGTGAGACAAGGCAATCTGCAATTTGTTGTAAAGATATAAAAATTCAAATAAAAAATGTACAATAAATAATTAGTTTAAATTATATTATACAATATCATATAAGTTTTAATTATTATAAACAATATCAAATTAGTTTTAATTACATCAAATTTATCTTGAAAGTAAGACTAGCCATTAAGAACAATTCAATACAACACAAGCAATTAATTAAGAGACTGATTCCTTTTGCCCATTTCCCAAGAGATGTAGATAACACCTGCTTGATCAGAGATGCTCTACCAGTTATCACCTCACACTAAACTCATTAATTTATCTCTAATTTGACATGCAATTTTCTGCTATCAAAATTTTCCTTGACCAGTGCCTGATCATTACACCCATGGGAGAGGTGGAATTTTTCTTGTTACAGATTGCTGTAAAGAACATAATGAAAAAAATAAGACTAAATAATAAGCCGGACATGAAAAAGCTAACAGACGGACGGAGGGACATGAACGCTATAACATAATACGTCCCGTCTTAAAAAGGACATATAAAAAATATAATGAGTAATTAAATTTTCACTGGAAATGTTTAAGGAAATTGTGAACACCTCTCACATCTAGAAAACATTAGTGATTTGGTACTTTCTCTGAAAAACCCAGCGGGGGGTATTTGTCCCTATTGGACAGTTCTAGTTAGCATTAAAATTTGTTAGTTTGCATGTAGAGTTTTCAAGCAAGACAATTAAAATTAACTTGTACTGTATCATGATACATACATGGCGATACGATATGCGCAACATGAGACCTTGCAATGAGTACGATCAATGTATCGCTGTATTGTTACACCTCTAGCATTAAGTGTAAAATAATTCTCCTCCCCTTGGAAAAAAAAAACTTTTTTGCCTTTATCTGACATTGTATTATGGTTTACAGATCAAGAGGTTTTGGATTTATCACATATGAAAAGGTAGCTATGCTTGATGAATGTCAAGCCAACAGACCACACAAAATAGATGGACGGGAGGTAGAGACAAAGAGAGCAATGCCCAGAGAGGTAAAAAGATTTCCCTCTCTATGCACATATAAAGTTTATTGAAGATAAACTTCTGTTTTATGTGTTTGTTTGTTTGTTGTTTTTTTAAAAATCTGTTATAATAGATAAATATGAGCAGTACAACTTTATGAATTGCAGGAATCAGGAAAGTCAGAATCTCAGAAATCCAATGAGAAAATGTTTGTTGGAGGACTTCGTGACACAACAACAGAAGACGATGTAAGGGAGGCATTCCAAGAATATGGAAACATCAAAAACATTGAGCTTATCAAGGATAAAGCCACCAACAAAACAAGGGGCTTCTGTTTTGTCACATTTGATGACTACGATCCTGTTGACAAATGTGTCTGTATGTATTCCTTTTCCTTTAACTCAAAAATTGATAAATTTTACAGTATTAAGTACTGTCCCAGTTCGCTTTTGATGTTGTAGTAATAAATTCCCTAATATTTTCAGTGAAAAAGAGGTTTAAAATCTGTGACAAAGATGTTGAAGTAAAGAAAGCAGAAAATAAAAATGAAGGTACAGTATGTAGTTAACATGTTTTATGTGTAGTCATTAACATGTTTTATGTGTAATCATTGTATTGGAAAAGTTTTATTGGACCCAAATTGGACAGAATGTTTCCTCTTTTGAAGCATATTGAATATGCAATATGTCTTTTCTTGTAGGTCGTGGTGGTGGTGGCGGTCGTGGTGGACGTGGCGGAGGCCATGGTGGTGGTAAGCTTGTGAAAATATTTTTTATCAAGATTAAAGAGTGAAGATTTCATTGATCATTGATATTCATTAAGTGATAGAAGAAAGAATGCTAACATTATAATATCTTACAGGATGGAATCAAGGAGGATTTAACCAGGGATTCAATCAAGGAGGTAATGGAATAATTTTGTTTTGACTTTCAAGGATCTAAGATTTTATACACAGCATGCATAAAATGGCCATTATCATTAATTTGTATGTAAGAATAAAAAGGTTAATATTTTGATAGTAGAAGTAGAGTTAATCAAGAAATCTTTCTCTACAGGTTGGGGTCCCGGTCCAGGAAATATGGGTGGCGATGGCGGCTATCAGGGTAAAGTTTTTTCTTGTTCTGTAGGTGAAGTGATTATACCTGGCAGTGGAAACAGAAAATGTGTAAACACTGCTGATAGAGCAACAGTCATGGCTTCATTGTGGTCATTTAACCTTCCATTAGCATTTCATATGCATTGGAAGGTAAAAGAAGGCATGGTAGATCTGAAATGACTTTCATTTCTGTAAAAATCTAGTGTTATTAAGCAATCCTATTTGTTTCTATAGGTGGCTATGGTGGAGGTGGTGGTGGCTATGGAGGCGGCTATGGCAACAACCAGGGCGGTAACTGGGGTGGTAACCAGGGAGGATACAATGAGGGGTATGGAGGAGGATACGGAGGTGGACAAGGTTCGTTATCTTTCATTAATTTTCTCTAGATAACCAGTTGTTTTGATTGCTTTTCTCTAGATAACCAGTTGTTTTAATTGATTTTCTCGAGATAACCATTGTTTTGATACTAGCAAGTGCAATCAAGAATAAATGCAATGCTGCTTTATGTGGAGTACATCCCAACTCTTCACTATAATCTTGAGTAGAATTTCATCTCTTCTAATGGCTGATGTTTGTTTCCAGGTGGTGATTGGTCTGGTAATCAGCAGTTTGGGACCGGCTACCAGAACAACTTTGGAGGTGGTGTGATGAAGGGAGGTGGTTACGGTGGACAGAGAGGTCAGGGCCCGTATGGAGGAGGCAAGTGACATCCTTGTACCATACTGTTCACAGCGTTACACTAACATCTCGATCATGCTAGCTAGGATCCATTCTCATCCCTCTCACATTCTGTATCTTACTTTCAGACCTTCAAATAATCAGAAGATAATTACATGGAATTAGAAAGTATCTGAAATTGGAAAGGGGGGATATTTTAGGGATTAAGTTGAGAATGTACTAGCATAATCGATGTTCATTTTATTCTGAGCCTTTCAATTCAGTGTTAAAAATGTTGCTGATTTGATTTATTTATTTATTTTATCTTTTATCACAAGACCAATTAATCATAACTGAATTTTAAAATTAAATTCTTGTGATGAGAGATTGGAAGTGATAAATTCTGAAGATTCAAATTCTAGTGTTTGACGCTGTAACTTACTGTGGTCCAGGTGATTAACTGACAGCCTTGGGTTTGAATGTAGTCAATGCTGTAGTGATCAGTTGTAGAGATGTACTTTTGTTGTCAAACCAGTAGCAATATGAAACAAAACCTAACACTGGAATGAATCAAAGACACTGTAAGATGTATGAACAAAGATTATACCTGATTCAGTTGTATGTGTTACAGTGGGTTTAAATGTTGGGATAAAGTAAAGAATGTGCATGCTTTCTGATTCCCTTTTCTAAGGTTAATTGATAAAGACATGTACCTACCCAAAAATGTTTAAAAATCATTGGTAAAAAAGGTATATGTTTGCAAAATTATCAAGTTCCTCTCTTCTTAATCCTTTGTTTCGATGTTAAATTCCTCATCACAATTTGTTACTAAAACTGCATTTATCATATTGTGTTGTTTTCACTGTGTACGAAATTCTTGTCAGCCTACTTGCCCTAGAGTAGTAACCATGATGATAAGCTGGTTTAAGTATAGTTAAAATTTTGCTTCTGGGCAGTGCCTGAAAGAGCGTCGTACACATTCTTCTATTGTTCAACTGCTTGATTCTTTAGTTCTTAAAAAAATAATTGAAAAAGTCATCATTAAGATTATTAAAATTCAGTATAAATATGATGTCAATTGAAAAAAAAAATATTTTGCATTCTTTTCATTTTATGGGCTGCATAACTACAAATGAGAAAATCTGTGTTGTTGGGAGATAAATCAAGAGTTCAATGCTAATTTTGAAAAAAAAGAAGAAAAAACCTCTTAATTGAAGATATCTCGCTTATTTTTCCAAACCAGGATGATTTGTAAAACTGTCAAAGTGTTGACTTTGATCTTTCTACTATTGGCCTACTGCAGTTTGTTGGACAGGTTTTCTGAGGTTGAATATTTACAGGTCCTGGTGGCTATGGCGGTGGTGGCGGATACGCTGGGGGTGGCGGTGGTGGATACGGAGGTGGAAACCGACGTTGATCATATTTCATCATATTGTGTATCACTGTAAGTAGGCCTGCACTGTCCCAGTGTTGGCACCTCAGCCATGCTGATTATCATTTTAAAAAAAGAAATGTTGAAAATGGACAAATTTTATCAGATTTCCTCTGCTTATGGGAAAATGATAGCACCATTTAAAAAAAAGTTAGCTATTAATTTAGTTTAATTTTGAGAATTTTAGTCTTATTATAAATGATTACCTATCTTCTATTGAACTTAATTGAGTGTAGAATGTTACTTTAACTAGAATATGTTAACTTTTCTCTATTTTCTTACATATTATATATAGGCAGGGTATTAGTGTGATAGATCCAGAGGAAATATTAGGAAGCAAATGGAATAAAATTGTAGCCATCGGGAATTTATTCTGACCTAGACCAGTGTTTCCAGCTAATTAAGTGAATTGATTAACATGGGATTAAAAGAAGCTTAAGCTCATGCAGGATATTAATTCTCAACGCAAATGGAAGAAAGTCCTTACCATCAGATGTGTTTAGATAGATAGAAAAAAGCTATACACCCATAGCTTAGTATAGTGATTAAATTCTCATCCTGGAGATATGAAGGAAAATTAACATGCAGCTTTTAGAAACAGTCTTAGAAAGGAAATTTCTCTTCTAAGTAGTGAAGATTTTTAAACTACCAAGTCCAATTTTTCATTAATTAGGCAGCACACAAACTAAAGTTTGCATAGCTTTTGACACCTTTCATCAACAGAGCTCACAAGCTAGAGGGAAATTTCTAAGGGGGTATACCCTCAGTGATACACATTTTATGTCTTTTTTTTTTAAACATCAATGACTTGTCGCCGTTCATTTCTTCTGAAGAAATGATCCATGTTGTCTTCATTTTGTCATTTTATTGTCCTATCATGAAGTTGATTTTGTGAGAAAAATAAATAAGAAATTTTATATATATTGAATCTAGTAGTGTTCCATTTCTCTTTAAAATGATGAGCCATTCAATAAGAGCATTAACTGAAGTTAGGCAAGAGAACTGCCTTGTTGAAAATTCAGAACTTTAAGTAGGCTAAGTAAGGCCAGCAGCAATATGAGGATACCCCCATGGATAGGTTCCTAGGGGCAGAAATTCTATGAAGGCATAGTTATTGAATAGCTCAGTCAAAATTTTGTATAAGGGTTCAGTGCCTGTTAGATTTTAACTATGAAAATTATTAGAGTATGTTTTTTTTTTTTTTAAAAAAAAAGCAGGTGGGAAAGATATTTGTTTTGAAATACATCAAGGAAAAACCTAACATAGTGTGATTTGGAGTAAAATTAATGTATTCGTCCTATTAAGTGCCTATTTTGCTCAGAAAAGGCAACAAACAAGATTTGTTATAATAGTTACTTGAGTTATAAGAAGTGCTTTTATAAAAGCACATATATGCATTGTGAAAGTAGCATATGCCCCAAAATTCTAAAGTTGTTAAGGAAGGATAATGTAAACACTATACATGTAGAAATTTACATAAATCAATCCAGGAATGACAGATAGCGGTCTTTAAGAAGCATCTTTGGTAGAAAAAAAAAAGGGCATTTGTTGGGCAGGACACTCGATAGGGCGAATACAATATTCTAGGTCATTACAAAGTAGCAGCTTGGGGGAAGTCCTTCAAAATATTGTAAGATTTTATAGTAAGTGTTGAAATTGGAAGGTGATGTTTTTGTTTCTTTTGAAAGGGGTTGGAAGAGGGGATATAATGTGAAAAGATTGGGATATTTGCATGTTACCAGACTTAATTTTGAGAATAATGCAGAGAAATATGTGAATAAAACAACATCCCAAGTGTAAGGGAAAAAAGTGCATGTACATGTACCCAAATAAATTTGACTTGTGTATAAAATATTGACTATCGTTTATGTGATTGTATGTATTATGTTATTGATAAGAATAAATTAAACGGTGGACAGGATTGGCACTGACCCTTGACCTCTAGATAAATGTTTGTGTCTATATATAAAATTCTCCAGCTTTGATAATAGACCGGAAGTGATGATAGGAAGCAGACGTTCCAGCAATAGGTGATAGGTCGGTAGGCCTAGTAAGTTAAGTAAGGTAGGCTGTTTGTATTTTCGCTCACGGGGAGGGAAATTAAATGGGGGAAAAGATCGGTGAGGGTTCTTTTGGGAATATGTAAGCTACATGTAAGGTTACGTCCACTGAGGAATCTGTTTTAAGTTGATATTTATACATTACTGAAAAAAGTATGCTATTCATTAATGCAACATTGCGATGCAGTAGCTCAAATTTTATCACGCATGAAGTGTCTGTTGTGGCATAGTATTTTGTGTCGATCACATCTAACTCGGTAAGTGATCCCAGCATTCTATTTAAATGTTTTCCTGAAAAAAGTTCTAAATCTTCTACATCTTTCCTTTAGAATATCTGTATTGTTTTTCTTTGTTCTTTTTTTCTCTGATAAACTTGATGAATTGCCATCTTGTTAAGAAAACGTGAATATGAATGTTTTACATGCTGATGAAGCATGGTCGTACGAACGGGGGGGAGGGGGGGGGGTATTTTGCCGATGTATAATATACTATAGAAATTATAGCTACTAAATGCTTGTGCCCCCTCAGTAATAACGTCTGATGACTTTTTTCTTTCTTTCGCTTATCAAGGAATCCTCCCCCCCCCCCCCTCCAAAAAAAAATTTGGTTGTACCCTTCCCTCCCCCAATTGAAATTGCTTCGTACGGGTCTGCGGAGACCTTTTATTTCAAAATGGAAACCATGTTGGAAAACGTTTGACATTTTACTCGTGTCACATGATATCGTAAATTGTGAACTTGCTGGTTGGCAGTAAATTAAAGTTACAATTTTGTATTTACTGCAACCCGGTAAATTCAAAATTAACTCAATTATTGTTCCAAGATACAAAATCAAAATAAATTTGACTTGTGTCAACCCTCATTTAAATTTCAAACAAATGAATTCTTTATTAGTTGTTTAGTAGAAGAAAAATTGTAGAACATTTGTAAAGGTGTGATGAAAATTGAGCTGCTCCGTTGTTGCATGATGAATAAAGTGGAACCTGCAAGACGGTTCAAGTTCACGAATCTGTGTGCTTTTTTAGGAGCCTAGTCGGTGTATGGGATCTTAGAAGTAGTGGGTCATGTGAAAACGGAACCAAACGAAGGCGAGGCGGAGAAAAAGGTACAGTGTATAGGTAAATCTTGAGATCTTGAGATTAAAATCGATCGCTTGTCGAAATACGTGTTAGGGTTTTGATGATATTAATTACTTAGTGATTAAAATTCTCACTTCAGGATTCAAAGTTCGATTGTTCCGCGAGAGGACATAACCTTTGTATTGCTGAGACGATTTGCACTTGTACATTGTTAAAATGAAAATGACTGGATATTGAAGAACAGGGACAGAAACTGGAAATGGCGATATATTGGTTTCACACGCGCACACATAACAAGAAGTTCAAAAATATGAAATAATCCTTTTGTTATGAAATTGAATATTAAAAAAGGGTTTCTTTTTCTGTCTTTTCTCTCGGTATGTTAATTAGGGCCCAACATGAAATGTGGAATCCCAGTAAGAATCTGAGTCCATCAACACCTTAAATTTGTTATGATGAGATAACTTGGAAGGTTTATTTTGTACAGGTAGACGATGGGCTATAATTGTTGGTATCCAAAGAAAGGTCTTGTCACAGAGAATACACATGTGAAGTATGAAAGCCATAGTACCAACTGTTCAAATGTTATGGCCAAGGTTAATGTTTTCCAAAAGTAGGTCAAACTCCAAGGTCAAAGTTGGTGGTATCCAAAGGAAGGTTTTGTCACAAGGATTACACATTAAGTATGAAAGCCCTAGCATCAACCGTTCAAAATAAAGTTATGGCCAAGGTTAAAATTTTCCAAAAGTAGGTCAAACTTCAAGGTCAAAGTTGTTGGTATCCAAAGGAAGGTTTTGTCAATTACACATGAGAAGTATAAAATCCCCAGCACCAACCATTCAAAAGTTATGGCCAAGGTTAAAGTTGGGTCAAACTCCAAGGTCAAATATGATGGTGACCAAAGAAAGTTCTCGTCACAAGGAATACACATGTAAAATATGAAGCCAAAGCTCCAACCAATCAAAAGTTATGGGCAATGTTCGTTTTTGCGGACAAACAGACGGACGGACAGGGCAAAAATTATATGCCCCCGAAACTTCGATTACGGGGGCTTAAAAATAATACGTATGTAGCAAATTAAATTATAGTTGCATACCTTGTTCAGACACGTACTTGGCGTCGTTTTTTTTTTTTTTTCAAAGAAAAGGGAGGGGGTAATTGAAAGAAAAGACGAAATAAAGAAGAAACAAAGAGGTTTTTTTTTTTAATCTGATTTGTTAACAAGTACATGTATTCAAATCATGGCTTCATCAAAGATATAGGAAATTATTATTATTTTTTTAAATCTGAGTAGCAGTACCACGCTTAATCGTTCTTTATGTAAATATTGTCGAGTTGTATGGAATCAAGTTTCTTCAATGAATGACTCTGATGTTAGGATGTAGGTAAAACAGAGGACCAAATCAAGGGAGAAAATCTCTGTAAATTCTTCACATGTAAAAGCAAGATGTTGCAAGTCATATGACGATACAAGTTTTGTACGGGAATCCCCTTCCGAAAAGTTAGTAAATGGCATTTTCACTACTAAATGTTTGACTTTAATGGCGCATGAAATTTTTGTCCAGATTTGTTCTACAACAATATATAGTGACCGTACAACGGTTTGATTTCGATGTATCGGGTTATTTGAAATTTGTGAAAAGTGGGAAAGGACCTGAACAAATAAATTGCAATTACACTCGCTAACCTTATTTATGCGTAAATACTAGTAATTTCAAAATTTAGAAATTTTAATGAATTGGACCCAAACAAGAGAAAATCAAAATCCCGACATGCAAACTTTTTTTGATATTGAAGTTTCCATGTAATATATAGAGAATATTACGTACTAAAATCCATATCATATGTCGATCATATCAGTCTGAGTGGCCCCATATCAGCACGAGGGCCAAAGGTCCAAGGGCTGATATGGGGCCCGAGTTGAATGTTTCGTGCATATATTTATAACCTAAAATCTAATAGAGCCAATTTTAGGTCTTTGAAAACAAATGAAGTCCACCAATTCTATAGTAGAGAATTATATGTTACATGTTTATTCAAATAAATTCAAGTTTAATTATTAACTTACTTTATAAAAACGTTACTTCCGGTTTGTGGGGATTTTTGCACGCCGGTCCGATACCTGATATGGATTTTTGGACCGATCCTTGATATGGGATATTGTGACTTCACTAGTATCGCACAGTGCGCAATCGGTGTATATACTACTAAGTATATGATAAATGTGTATGTTATGACCCCTTGGGGATAGATAAACCTGTATAATACAATACATATATATATGGGGTGAAAATTATTCATTTGAATAAAAAGGACAAAAACCCTTTTAAAAGAACAGCAAGATCAAGCTAGTGATCTCGGTGAGCGCTGCGCCCCAGGGACCTATTGATATAAACTGTATGTTATCAGGATAGCAGGCGACTATGAAAAGGGCGAAGACAGATACAAGTCTTAAAATTTTGCTTCACATGGTATATATAGAAAGGGAATGAATATCTCTAAAGATTGAGTCTCAAGATATATGAGTTATCATGTGTCTGTTAAGATATTGAGTTATCTTTATCTGTCACATTAAAAGATTAATTTAAATCTCTGTCTGCAACTTATATTTTTTCTAGAGAATTGCGTTTGCGAAAGGCATACTTCATTTTAGTTGAAATATATACATACAAGCATACACATGCATCCGGGTGACCTACTGCTATATATATCTGTTTTTGTCTGTAACGTTTATCGATCGTCGTGCGATTATATTTGAACATTAATTTTCAGCTTCTTCTCTGGAACCGC